AGGGAGTAGAGACTGGGTGGTGATGATGAGGGTACGGAAGGGCTCTGTCTGCTGGACCCCAAGCTATGCCAGCAGGGAGGGAGCTGAAGGGTCACACGGGGGGGGGGGGGTTCTTCTGGTAGAATAGCCCTGGGCTCCAAGGTAGGGTGGGTGGGAACTGAGAGAGGGCAGGAAGGAGGGTTCCCTAGAAGCTGAGGGCAACTGAACTGGGGGAAATCTGACCCAAAGATGGAAACAGAGAAGCGGGGTGTCAGGGAAGGCCTGGGGACACTTGGACCAGGATAAAGGAGTCACTCTCATCTCCTCTCTCCCCGGGAGTGAAGGAGGCAAGTACGGAAAGGCGCCAAGAATAGAAGAGATGAGAACAGAACCACCTCCAGTGGAGGGTGAACCGTCCCCTAGGACACAGAAACAGGCTCTTTTTTAGCATTTAATTGTAATTTTCTTTCAGCATTGTTATTCCCTCTCATTATCCCTGAAAAAGCTGGGTCTCCACCCCTTCCTGGACTTAGTCACCCTGCAGAGGCTTCGGGGGCTAGCCTGTGTTCACATTTGACTGGCAGCTCATCCCAGGATCTCCCCACTCTTGAGTCTCTCTTAGAGGCAAGCCTGGCCCCAAAAGCACCTACTTCAGAGAAAGCCGGGGTCCTAGAGCATCAGAGGATATCAACAAATGACAAGTGTCTCTTTTGGACAGCATCTCAGGGGGCAGGAGAGAGACCTTGGCCCATCTCCCTAAACCCTCACCACTGCCAGACCCAGGTCAGAGCAGATGGCCTTGAGAGGGGACGCATGGCTGGGTACCACCCAGGATGTATCATACAGACCACAGGACATGCTGTGGACAAGGACTTCACAGCTTCTGCATCTGGACCCAATTCTAAGCCTGCAGACAAGACGGAATCAGCTGAGCTTCCCTTCTTCCTTGGAACCACTGTCTTACTAGTATCAGCAGGGCCCCTGGGGTAGCTTGGGCCTTCTCTGCAGCTCCAGCCGATTTCCCAATGAGATTGTTGCAAGAACTTCTTATCAGTCCAGCCAACTCCTGCTTGCCCCTGTTCTTGACAGGAGTGGTCCTCCATCCAGAACAGGGATGGAGATGCCCATCTCAGGCACAGAGCCAGGTGTGGTCCTCCATCCAGAACAGGGATGGTGATGCCCATCTCAGGCACAGAACCAGGTGTGGTCCTCATCCAGAACAGGAATGGAGATGCCCATCTCAGGCACAGAACCAGGTGTGGTCCTCCATCCAGAACAGGGATGGAGATGTTCATCTCAGGCACAGAGCAGAACCTTCACTTTATTCCATAAGACTAAGAGAAATTTTACTTAAGTTGTGGTTCTCAACTAGTGTTTTGGGTTTTTTTGTTTGTTTGTTTTTGTTTTTGTTTTTGTTTTTGTTTTTTTGTCCTTCCAGGGGACATGTGGTACTGCCTGGAGATACTTTGGTTATCACAAACAGTTACCAGGAAGAGGCCTGGCATTCTGCTAAACATCCCACCACACATAGGACAGACCCCACCCCCCATTTTGAGCAAAGAATTATCTGGCTCAAAATATACACAATGTTAAGTTTGAGAAGTACTTCACTAGAATTGTAGGGTAAAATTATCACAACTTTTCGACTTTGTCCACAAAGCCATTCTTCTGAAGGTAAGTTGACCTCTCAAAATCAATACCTTCCAAGCTGATTTGTTCATGACTACTTCCCTAATATCCAGAGCAATGTTTCACCCATAGTTGGAACCAGCAATAAAAAGTTTGTTAAATAATGGGTTGTCTCTATTTGGTGATCGTGGTTTCAGGCTTTGAGGGGCAGTCATGTGCAAGATCTTTCTTAAATAATTTTATACCAGTGAGGCATACATCCAACTATTAACACTGGGTTTCTCTAAAAAATAGCCAATGAGCTTCATGCTAAATGCCTCCAGCCCATTCTCTCTTCTTTCTTTCTTTCTTTCTTTCTTTCTTTCTTTCTTTCTTTCTTTCTTTCTTTCTTTCTTTCTTTCTTTCTTTCTTTCTTTCTTTCTTTCTT